CCCCAAAACCCCAAAACCCCAAAACCCCAAAACCCCTCGAATCATATTATAATTGAATATTAAAAATGGAAGAAACTAAAAGTCTTGATGGCTACGACAGTCTTGACATTAAAAGTGTTCCTCAAATAATGAAACAGTTCAGAGACGATGAAGAACTATTCTACTCCGGTAATGTGACCAAGTATAATAGAATGAACTGGAAACAAGAACGCATATTCATAATCACCAGTCTTGCTGTTTACAATGTAAAATAGCTTCAAAATACAAAGGAGAATCGCCATCAGTGATATTGACGGGGTCACCAAGAGCACTGACCCCAAATGCTTCGAGTTCGTCATCCACGTAGAGGTCGAATACGATTACAGGTTCCTCACGACGCAAGATAAGCGAGACGACATTTTCTTTGTGCTCAAAAACTGTTTTTATAAGCATTTTGGCAAGAATTTGCCAATCTTCGGAGTGGCTTATCCCCACTTAAAAGACTTCACAACAACTAAGAAGGAGGCTGCCAAGCGAATTTCTAAAAAGCCACCGAGAGGAAATCTGCTCAAAGACGAAGACATTTTTAAGGATAAGTGGTACAAGCCAGCCTCTGGAGAAAAGAAGCCATCTAAGCCTAGCTTCAGGAAGCCCTCTACAAAGACTCCAGATTCTGGGGAATTTCAGATGCCAAGCCAATCAGAACTCGAAGAACGCAAAAGCAGAGCTACACAAGGAACCATCTACAGCAAAGAGAAAGGCAAGCAAGTTGGCCTTAGTGATTTCGATAAAATAAAAGTCATTGGCAAAGGGACCTTCGGCAAAGTCTATCTCGTCAAACACAAAGATGACGGCAACATTTATGCCATGAAAAGCATCCGCAAAGACGTCATGATCGAGAACGACCAAATTGAAAGCGCTAAGATGGAGAAGCAAATTCTGTTCCAAAACAAGCATCCATTCTTAGTTAAAATGAGTTACGTCTTCCAGACAGAAGAGAAAGTGTATTTCGTCATGAATTTTATCAGAGGAGGAGAACTCTTCACTCACATCAACAAGGAAAAGAGGTTTACTGAAGATAAAGCCAGGTTTTATGCCATCCAGATCATGTTGTCTCTTGGCTATCTTCACAAACAAAACATTATTTACAGAGACATCAAGCCAGAAAACATCTTGATTGGGGAAGACGGCTATCTCTACTTAGCAGACTTTGGACTTGCTAAGACCATCAAAAAGGGAGAACTCGCCACCACCTTCTGCGGAACTCCTGAATACTTGGCTCCAGAAATTATCCAAGAGAAAGGTCATGATCACTCTGTTGACTGGTGGGCCTGAGGAATTCTCATTTACGAAATGATCGTGGGGTTCCCTCCATTCTACCACAAGAATCAGAGGACAATGTACGATTTGATAGAGAAGTTCCCTGTCAAATTTCCAGACCCAGTCAAGCACGGGATCCCAATGTCTGACGAAGCCAAAGACATCATTCTCCAACTCTTGGAGAAAGACCCAGCTAAGCGACTAGGTTCCGAGAAAGGCATCGAAGAGATCGTCAAGCACGATTGGTTCCAAGACGTTGACATTGACATGTTGCTGAACAAAGAGTTGGAAGCTCCGTACATCCCGAAGCTGAGCGATGACCTGACGGACGTGTCTTGCTTCGACAAAGAGTTCACGAGTACTTCTCTGGAGGAAACCTTCGTTCCGAAGGGAGATGTCAGTATGAAGAATGTAGAGAAGTACAACAAGAAGTTTTCAGACTTTGACTCTTAAATATTAATCAGTTTCAAGATATTCTCTAAATTAGGGGTTTTGGGGTTTTGGGGTTTTGGGGTTTTGGGGTTTTGGGG